AAATAAATAAAATAAAAAGACAGAAAAAAAAAAGTTTTCCAAGTTATGTTCTCAATTGTGGAGATGTAAAGAAACCTAAATGTTGATGTTTCACTGAAAGTAAACCCTCACTAACAACACAGAGAACTGTAACATGTGAGTCAACCATGTTAAAAAAAAAAACAGCCAAGGGCATGGCTCAGGATGTAGCACTCCTGTTTAGCAAATGTGAAGCCCAGAGATCACACTTTTATGCCTATAAACACAATTACTCACAAAGAATGGCAAGTTAGAATTGTGTGTGGAGAACTAAGGCTCTAGGTTAGCCTGGCAAAAAGTTAGTGAGAACATTTATCAATAAATAATCTGGGCATGGGGTTGGGAAGGTGGCTCGGTGGTAGAGCGCTTGCCTTGCATGCATGAGGCCCTGGGTTCGATTCCTTAGCACCACATAAACAGAAAAAAAAAAAAGCCAGAAGTGGCGCTCAAGTGGTAGAGCGCTAGCCTTGAGCTTAAGAGCTGAGAGACAGCACCCAGGTCCAAAGTTCAGGCCCAAAACAGGACCCCCCCCCCCAAAAAAAAAATAAGCTGGGCATGGTGACATTCACTTATACTCCAAGGTACACAGAAAGTAATAGGGTGATTATAATCAAAGGCTGGTCTCAAACAAAAACATAAGAACCTCTTTTTTTTTTTTTTTGTCGGTCATGGGGCTTGAATCTAGGCCTGGGCACTATCCCTCAGCTCTTCAGTTCAAGGCGAGTGCTCTACCATTTGAGCTACAGTGCCACTTCCAGTTTTCTGGTAGTTTATTGGAGATAAGAGTCTCACAGCCTTTCCTGCCCAGGCTGGCTTTGAACCTCGATCCTCAGATCTCAGCCTTCTGAGTAGCTAGGATTACAGGCCTGAGCCACCGGTGCCTGGCTGTAAGAACCTCTTTCAAAACTAAAACGGGGAAAGGGGAGAAAGGGAAGAATAGGAATAGAGAAAAAATGGTAAATTCATCATATAAAAACTCATACATAAATATCACAATGAAAACCTCCAAATTACAAAAGGTATGTTAACTCAAAATCAAAAAACAAAAATGAGTAAAAAAAAAAAAAAGGAGAGTGTGAGAAACTGTCAGAACTAAGAATTGCAGGGAAACATGGTAACTAAGCATGCACTGGTGGTCTCAGTGGAATTCTGGAACAGAAAAAAGACAACATGGGTACACAATGGAAATTGGGATCAAGTATGGACTTTCTTTCGTAGCAATGTTATCAGCTGGGTGCTGGTGGTTCACACCTATATTCATAGCTACTCAGGAGACTGAGATTGAAGGATAAAGGTTCTAAAACAGCCCAGAGACTTTCATCTCCTATTAACGAGCAAAAAACTAGGAACTAGAGGTGTGGTTGAGGTAATAAAATAAGACAGATGTTCAGAGGTTCATACAGACAGGAGAAAATCTGAAATAGTCAAAACTTCATCAGCAGGAGACTGCATCAAAGTAACCCTATAACCTGAATGTACCAGCAGCCATCATTTATGAAAAATCCTCATTTGAAGTTTGCTTTTGGTAGTTAAACCAAGCACATGGACTTGTTCTTCTTAATAAAATAGTATGGAATGGACAGTAAAGGTCATTGTCTTGGTGGCAAAGACAGCAAGAGATAAGAGTACAACTCATTTCTGGGAGGTGGAAGAGATGAGGAGGGGCTGATTGATGGCTGTGCAGAAGCTTCTGCCTGCCTTGGGGCCTGCTAAGGGGAAGAGTGACAAGAGATGTGCCCATTTCCCTGGAGGATCCTGAAAGGCCCCGGACGTGAGGGAGTAAGATGGAGGTGAGCTGTGGGAGAGTGAAAACCCAGGGACTGGCTCAAAGTCTAGGTACAGTATGGCTAAACTCCCGGGCTCCCTCCTCTACTGTACCTGGTGTAGCCAGGCTAGGAAGGTACAGCAAGCCCTAACAGGCTACACTTCAGCAGAGAGGGGAGGGGAAGAGTCAAGATGACAACAGCACAGGGGCCCAGTGAAGCCACCTCTTCTGACTGGATGGCAACACAAATGAACCTACAGACAGAATGTGGTTGAACACAGAACATGATTGCCATATGAGATTATAGAACATTTAGGGAAAACAAACCATAGCTACATAGAAAATTTGCACAAAAGATTTTTCTCAAGAAACCCAAAATAAGGGATATTGCACAACTAGTAATGTTTGGTTCTACCATTATAAATATTGGTGCTGGATTTTCCCCCCCTGTAGGACAGAACCCAGAGCCACATACACAAAAGTCAATTGCTCAACCACTTGAGCTCCCAGCCTTATTGCTTTGCATTTTGTTTTTGAGAGAGCGTCTCCCTACTTTGTCTAGGCTGGCCTCAAACAATTTCTCTCATCTCTGCCTCGCAAGTAGATGGGATTACAGGTATGTACCACCAAACCCAGCTTGATGTTGGTTTTAATAAACAATGATATACCTATGTTGACAAAATGGAGAAGACATGGGAGGGTCTGCACTAAATCCTAAACCTTAATTTACCGTAGGAAGAAATCAGCAAAGAATAGCTAATATTGATAAATCAAGAATTAGCAATATAAGCAGAGTATTTTAGAAATAGGAAAATAATAGCTGGAAGAATCAGCAATGGGAAAGTGATTTCTTAAAGAACAGGAGCTTGAGGTAAGTAAAAGAAACTGTGTTTTTAAAAAAATTAACTCCTTGACTTGTTTACCTCCTTAAACTTTTTTAACTATACATACAACACTTAAAAAATAAAAATTATTTATCTCTAGATTTTCTCAGAAAGATGAAAATAGTTGATTTTATACAAATCATACAAACATGAAGTGATTTACTCTTTTTTTTTTCTGTAGTACTAAAGTTTGAACTCAGGGCCTTGCAATTACTAGACAAATACTCTACCATCTCCAGCTCCTAATCACACAAACATTTTAAAGTAATGGGAAGGGGAAACAAAGGAGGAGGCTACAATGCTTGATAAGAAATGTACTCATTATCTTGCTCATGTAATTGTAACCCCTCTGTACAGTATTTT